AAAAATGGCTTCTCTCAGCTTCTTCTCCAGACCCGTGCGCCACTACCTTGGGATTTAATGAAATTACATGATTTGCCACTGGGGAAAACGTTCGCGAGTCTGTTTCTCTTCTCTCCATGAGTTCGCAAGTTCTTTTGCGTCTTCCCTCCGTACGTTCGTCCTCCCTCTATAGGTCTCCGTTCGACTGGCAGAATCTTGACTGAACCTGGCTGGTTGCTGTGAGAGAGAAACACTGTAGCGAGTTGAAACTGGCTAAATCTCCAGAGGAGAACCAGCCGGCTGGTTCCAGCGAACCGGACCAGCGAACAAGGCCATAGTCTTCTAATACTTTATTATGTTATTTTTTTATTTTTTAACTTCAAATTTTTTAATTCAAATTTACTCAGGATGAAATAATATATAGAAACGTACAACTGCAAATGTTACTATACATCTATATACACAGGGGTATCTTGGATAATTGATCTCTCAGTCATGTATGATAGACATGTAAAGTCGTTTGCTAAACGACTTCAACTCCACCAGTAAAGACCCATAAAAATAACTTCAGTAGTGAAGCGAAGTCCTACCGATTGGGGCCTTAATATATGCAAAATCAATATGGCTTCCATGCAACTCGGAGATCAGAAGCCACATGGAACGTGCAAGTAATTGGCATCAATCCGTTCGCATCGTGCGATAGTGGTTTATGGTTTGGTTAGCCACGCTTGATCCGTTGGGGGCGCCCAGGGCCCAAGCAAACCGTCTCCTCACCCACATGGCAAGAATGGCATGGCGAGTGGCACTCGCCGCCGCCGTCCTCCTGTGCGCGGCCGCGGGGGCGGCCCTAGGGGCGAAGCGGGCGCGTATCCCGGACGACCTGCGCGACGTGATAGACGAGGAGGAGGACGACGAGTGGCGCCATTATGGCGCGCCCTCCTCTCGGGGCCCGGGCCGTGGCGACGGCCCGCCGCCTGACCTTTCAAGGATGGATCCGGCCGCTCTCCAGGCCGAGCTCCTTCGCGGCCAAACCGGCCCGTCGTTCGGCTTCGTGAAGCTCCGCCCCGGCACTGCCCGCTCACAGGTGCGGATCCGGATCCTTCGACCTCGATCGCCGCCACGGCCGCACGCTCGTCGCCTCGTTTCACCGTGTCGTTAAAAATTCCTTTTTTTTTTAATTTTAGGAGGATGTGGTGGGGATCGCGACGAGGTGGAGCAATGTGCTGCGGACGGGATCGGTGGACGCCAAATTCGTGGCGGTTAATTTCGGAACGCTCATGTTCACCATGGAGAGAGGGCGAGATATTCTAGAGGTTGGTGCTTGCTTCCTTCCTTTGGATTGGCCATTTTCTTACAATGGCAGTAAAGTTGGGGGCAGAACAGTGGTCTTTTGACCTGGAAAAAAAATGGTGGTCTTGATCTGACCAGTTCACCTGAAAGATTAGACGTTAAGAAAAAAGTGAGCAACTTAGTTCAACAAATCTCATTCACGTTGTGGACTCACTAGGGGTTGGTGATGTGGACTGCATTTACCTTTCCCTGAAATTGTGTTAGCTACATATCATACTCATGCTGCATATTGGACAGTTGATCCTGAATTTCAATTTATAAGAAAAGTTAAGCGATATGCTTCATCACTGCCTAGCACGAGCTGGATAAGTTTTCAATCATTTCATGGTAATCTATGCATGGTCCATGGCTTGAAAATCTTTTTTTTTTCTAGAATACGCAGGAGGGCTACGTATCATTGCATTAAGATAGGAAAAAGGAAGGCTCAAATAGCCAATACAAAACTCACACCACACCACACACAGCTCAGGATTTTTAACTGTTACACGCGCCTGTTCAAAACAAAGAGACGACCAAAACCACAACTACAGGAGCTGCTATCTACCATGACTAGCAGCAACCAGACCTCTGAGAAGCGCCCAATCTAACCTGGGCAAGACACCATTAAACACTATGTCGTTCCTTTCCTTCCAAAGGATCCAAGCACCCAGGGCCTGAAAATCTTATACAAAAATTAGACGAAATCACTGGTCTACTCATGTCTATTTATCCCATGACTCATTCACTCGAGCGTTATTACCGCTCAATGGTACAGAGCGCACTTTGCCATCGTTCTATGAGATCAGTGTCCACATGTGATTCAGAACTTGGGATTCGAGGTGTTTGCCTAGAGGCTAGAGCTGACGGCACTTCTGTAGCCATTCTACCATCTCTTTTAGGACGACCATTCTATCATTTTCAGAGGCTCAGTGCACAGCACGTAAAATTGAGGGCGAAACAACCTAGAAACATGATTTCCTTTCAGATTTACAGATAAGATTCACTTTCCTTTCCAGTCTGCTAAAATGTTTATATAATTCTTCTCTATTTTTTCTCTGGTTTCAGCTGAAGGAGTTTATCCTGAGTCAGGCTGAGGCCTACGAGTTTAAGATTGGTGATCAAATTTTCCGCAGGCCTGGAGACCCACCCCTGGACCAAGTTCTTGATAAGCCACAGAAAAAGAAGCAAGTTCTTGATAAGCCACGGAAAAAGAAGCGTCATAAGTCTAGAGATGAACTGTAGATTCATTTTCTAATTTGTTCTACATGTCCTGTTCTTTGTTCGTTCTTTCTCTTTCGTCTACTTCAGTTTTGCCCCTATAGCAGTTTTACCTTGTGCAATCTGACAAAATCACAAGTAGTGGTCCTTGCCAAATGGTCTGTGTACTGCTGCAGTATTATAACCACCGTGCCGTCCCACCACACCCATTCTGAATGCAAGAACGCAACCGTCCTTGATCGAGTCGTCTTCAGTCTCGCCAGTCGCCACTGCCTGATGTTGCCCGTTGCTGTTTGTCGGTCCATTTCCTGCAGTCTGCTGTAGTAGCCTTTTTGTAGAGGGTGTTAGGATCTCTGGAGTCTGGACCATTTGAAGCCAAAACCCTGATCCGGAGAAGACGAGTGTACTGGCGTGATCGGCGACCAACAGCGACGCCTGCCGCTGCCGTAGCCAAGGCACTGCACTGCGCGCTGGCCACCCTTTGCCGCCGCCGAGGAGGCTTGGGATATCTGCAACCTACTGTTTCCTCCAACCATCCACAGCTCCGCACCTCCGCGTCACCTTGTGACCGCATGGCAAGCTAGATCCCCGGCGCCCATCCCTCCCAGATCAGGAAGAAGATACGAGTGGCCGGCTGGAAAAATATCTCGGACAATCTGGCCCGCCTGCATGCGTTCTGGACCGCGCACACGGCAAGCGCGCGCCCCGGACCTCCGCCGAACAGAGCGGCACGGCGAGGGCCCAGGCCTGTCCCAGTTCCCATGCCGGTGGCGTTCGGCGTTCGCAGCTGGCGAACGCGAAACGCTCGGGCGGACGCGGACGCAACGCAAACCAGCCCGCGCCTGGCCGGGTTCCCCGGGCAAAACACACGTCGCGATCATGGGCGCGCCACACGGACAAGCAACGGGAGCACGCACGGGGCCCGCCCGCCGGCGGGGTACGGTGGGCGCCCACTTGCCACGGCGTCGATCGTCCATGGACCGAGCCGCGCGCGTGTCCATGCAGCAGGCCGTCGGTGCCCGATCCGACGGCTCCTGTGGAATTCTAGGACGTGCGCGTGTCGTCTGGCGTGTCTTGTTGAGTGCTGGCCAACCTCTTGTGCTTCCTTCCAAGCTTCCGCCGAATCAGACGACAGGTCTAGCTAGCGGTAGCAGCATCTGCTAGTAGCAAGCTGGAGATAGGAGGAGAGGCCGGAGACTTGTCTTGGCGCCCAATGCAAGCACGATTTCCACGGCCAGCGAACAGAGATATCTTGGGGCGGCGCCTTATAAGTTCTCCACCCCTGGCTCGTCACTTCCACCGGAACAAGAAACGCGCAGATAGCTGCTTCGCGGACCGAATCGCATCCATATATCAGCTGCGCAGCTCGATCGTCGGAAGAAACTGACCAACGCCGTGCCCGGCAGCGCGCCTGTGCCTGTGCCTGCAACTGCAACCTGAAACGTACGCGTGCAGTGCAGCCTTGTGCGTCGGCCCGGATCGAGAGAGCGCCAAGGAACTGGTTGTTCTATCGCAGGCGCAGCTTCGTTCTTTGATCGACGATGGGCGTCGCGTTCGGGTGCTTCGGAGGGTGCGTGCAGCAGAGCGACGGAGGCCGGCAAGGTACGCACCACTGCATCGACGTTCGTGCATTGTATTCAATCACATTTGCCATGGTAATGGTGTGCCACGTACCATCGTACGTATAGTGGCGCATTTGCCATGGTCATGGTCACCACGGCGCGGCGGAGTCAGTCAGCGCCGGTTGGAGTTTGCGTTGCGTCCGTGCATGCATGCGTGTAGCAGCATGCCAGAACACCCGTTAACACGGCCCTGTTTGGTTGGTCTTTTGGCTTTGGCTTTTGGTCCCAAAAGCCAAAAGTCAGCGCCGGCTTTGAAGGAGTTTTTAGTGTTCGTTTTTGAAAATCCCTGCGGTTTTTGCGCTTTTTGAAATTGGTGGAATAAAAAGCTCTTCCATAGTTGTTTCAGAGAGAAAAGATAAAAGGTATATTTTATACTTGTTTAACCAACAACTTTCAACACTTTTGTTTTTCACAACTTTGACACACAAAGAGCTTTTTTTCCACACCACACAACAAAACACAACCTTAACAATGTTGTCATTTCTGCATTGTTACAGCAACGCACAACCTTGTTACATTGTCATTTCTGCATTGTTAAGCAACTCAAACCTCCAGTTAAAATGCACCTGTAGATGTCCAAATATCCATTGAGAAACCCTACTAGCATGTTGCATTACTAGAGGTCTCTAGACCAAGAGAAAAAAATGGGTGGTAGCATGTTCAAGTGTTTCCAAGCATGCATCCACCAGCATCATCGTCAAGGTGGCTGGCTTTAGATCGATCCTTCATTCATCACGCGTGCCTTCATCTACATACAGTAGTATATACATGTATGTACGCATGGCACTTGATCTGTGTTGCTAACCTGTGTTTGCGTTGGCATGCAGCAGTGTGCACGACCCCAAGCCCGTGATGGAACCGTCCTCGAGCTTCGACTTCCGGGAGGAGTACACCAGCGCGTTCCGCACCGAGTCCTACAACGAGTTCTGGGCGCGCGTCCTGGACATCACCCTCGCGCACGGCGCGGGGCTGGTGCCGCACCCGGGCGGTGGCGGCAACGTCACGGCGTCCAAGCGCCTCCCCTCCTACCGCCTGTTCGCCGAGCAACTCCTCGAGCCGGACCAGCGCGCCGTCCGCGCGGCCCTCGCCTCGCCATGTAAGGGCCAGCTCCACCCCGGCGTGCGCGACCTGCTCGCCACCTACTTCAACGAGACGCCCAGCGCGTCCTTCCTGTGCAGCCACCTCCTCAGGGACATCGAGCAGATCCGCCTCCGGTACCGGCCGCTCAAGACCACGCTCCGCAAGCTCGCCCGTGACGTCGGCGTCTCCAGCCTCGCCGACGTCTCCGCCGCCCTCGGCCAGCCCTTTCGCCGCGCTGGCCGTGTCGCAGGGCAAGCTCCGGCAGGTGCAGCTCAGCTCCGCCGACCTGCTCAGGAGCCTCGACGCCAGCAGGAAGAAGGCGCGCCTCCGGATCAAGAGCCTCGCCCGGCTCAGGCAGCTGCTCTCGGCCTCCTTCATCACCGTCGTCGCCGCCGTGGCCGTGGTGGGTGCGTTCATCGGCGTGCACATCCTGGCCGCGTTCGCTGCGTTTCCGATGATGTCGCCGGTCTGGCTGGGTCTCTTCTCTGGGCACCGGGACATGGACACCATAAGCCGCCTCGTGGCGCGGCTGCGCGACGAGGGGGAGCACATGCTCGCGCTGCTGCAGCTGTGCGTGGACCACCGCGCCGCGGCTGGCGAGAAGGGGAGGCTGGTGCAGGAGGTGCTGAAGCAGCTGTGCAAGAACGAGGAGAGCTTTAGGCAGCAGCTGGACGACCTGGAGGAGCACCTCTTCCTGTGCTTCATGACCATCAACAAGGCCAGGAGCATGGTGATGAACTTCATAGCTGGCGCAGAGCACAACTCCAGTTGACCACAAGAAAGAAAAAACTGTGCTTGTAGGACAGACTATAGCTTGTGTACATATTAGTTTTTAGTACAGGGAAAAAAAGAGAGCAAAAAAAGATAGGCTAAGATTTCCGAACACTGGCCATTGCACCTCTCTTGGATTTTTCTACGCATAAGCAGCAGATTGCAACATTCGACATAGTAACCTGATTAAGGGTTTTACTAAATGCACCTGCATATGTTAAATTTCAGTATCGTGAGGCTAAAAAAAGCCACTCCAATGGGTTGTTGAAGATCCCAGAATACAACATCACGGTGCAACTACTGGGGCAAGTATATATTTATGGCTTTACAAAACTTATGATTTGGTAATAAATGGTAATTGAGCAAGTTTATCTGGTACACCAATGATCATCCAATGTAGTAGGGAGTAAGATCAATCAGGTGAAATTCTCCCTTCAGGTATCTTTCTCTCCACTCGGCCAGTCCTTGATGGAGGCCAGATTATGTGGGTAACCCTCCCCTGAACTAGACCTAATGGAATCTGAAAAACAGCACAAATACAAAATAAGTCACACTGATGCAGCATAATTTGTCACTAACATATGGTATTGGTTTCTTATATATAGTTGTAATGAGTTGTCTGAACTATTGACAAAGGATGCATTCTTTGGGAAACAGCCAGAAGCTCAGAATTGAAAAGCCAAGAATGAATTGTGCCCAATTTATGCTTTCTCGCCATCTCCTCTACTAACTGTTCACTAGTTGTACACCATGGAGACATTTGAACCGATGATTACTGAAGAAAACCACAGTGTCTGTCTAAACAAGCACACAACCAAGTTCATTGGTAGCAGCTTTATAACTCAATAGTTTCATACTTGGCAGTCAATGCAACACAACTTTTTTTCAGAAAAGGGACCAGATTTTGTTGCCAGTTCTATCGTCACAAAAGATTGCAATACAGCAACATAATTAGGAAGAAATCGCTGCAAGTTGTCGAGCCTCAAAGATTATCACCAAGGACACAAAGTGTGTGCTCCTAACCTGAGGTGCACTAATGTACTTGTCTGTTGTGCTATAGGTTGTCCTGACTATCAAAGTTTTGCTTTATTCCCATTTTTTCAGTTTTTTTGCTTCTCTTTGGTATCTAGTTTGTCTAAAGCTTGGTCCAAAGTGTTGCTTAGGAGCTTTCAGTTGCTACAACCATATGGTGTATCGATTTCATTTTCAGGCAAAAACTACAGAATAAGAAAAAATGCTTTGAAGAGGCAACAAAAGACAATTTATTATCTTGCTATAACTACAGATCCAATAGGTTATAAATTTAAAGGACCACAGTGCTAAATAACCATGTAAATCTGAATGTTCTAAGATATAGTACCTATAGCCATTCTAAGAGATTCTAGCAAAGATGAATGCAATTTGTGATACCGTATATATTATCTAATGGTTAATGACATTTCCAACACAGATGCTCCACAAGCAATAGGCACCTGGTCTCACTTTAAAATGGCAGGGGAGCATCTCAGAACTTTCCCACAAAAGGAACACTCTAGGAGTTTCAAATTTAATATCAAGAAGCTAAGGCTCAGATTCTTCCCATAAGCATCGTTGCTGGTCACTGGCCTTTTCAAATCACACGCAGCATGCCCTTTAGATTGAAACAGACTACAACAAGATCCAACCATGGAACCAAAAATCCCCTTGACCATCAGTATTCAATGCAGCAGAGCAGGAGCTTTATATGCACTAGTAAGTTTCATTCAGCCAACTCAACATGAGCAAGGGCACCCGAATAAGTAGTATAGATGTGAAGAAGAACAAACTTACCGGGCCAAATGCCCTAGAATCCCAGCTACGAGCAGAGTTATCACCTTCAACCCAGCAATGCCCTTCTGGGATCTTGGTAAGCTTAAGGGACCCAGGGACCTGTATCCACTCACCAGGAAGCCCAATCAACCTCTTCACAAACAACTGCTTATGATTGCTAGGGCACCTATGAGCACATGGGGAATGATCAGGATACAGACATGGAATAAGTCCGCGGCAATGACCTTTCCCAAAATTAGCCCATCCTTACTTGAACAAAATCACATCACCATGTGAGAACTTGTACTGCTCAATGCACCTCATTTCTGCTAAAACGAAATCACCTGGTTCCAACACCCTGGTCAGCACAAACCAGAAGACCAAACTATTTGAATATGGACTGCAGCATAACCTAGTTGTCCATTGCCCAATTGATATGTACGAATTGAAATCATAATACCTCCCCAGACGCTGCTGGAGGCCGTAAACGTAGGATACATGGATTCGCCCGTCACCGAAGTGAAGGTCACATAGCGGTCGGAAATGGAGACGCCAATTACAACCGCCATTGCATTCCTCTTGGCTATTGACCAAAGATGGTTGTAGGTTCCCATGTTCAATTATCCAACTATATCTAGTCACAAGGATAAGGATAGCAACATTAAGTGAAAAAAAACTGAATAACACTGCAGGCCAATGAGTGAAGCATGCAAGAACTGCGTGTGATCAGGAATTCCCCCTCTCAGATTCAACTTAGAGCATGTGGAATCAATCAAGACTTACCACCGAGGGGCGAGCAGACTCAGCCGCTGGAGAAGCACCGGTACTATTTAAACGGCTGCAGATTTATTACGGAGGAGACCGAGGTTGCCTCCGAAGAGGCGCCCGAGAAGAACAGCGGGGCGCCGTTGTCGTCCTCGTCGGCGGCGCTGGGGTGGGATTGGGTTGGAGCGGCTTGAGCCGACGTGCTTTGCACGAGCAATCTTGGAGTAGAGTTGCGCAGGAGCAGCCCAGTTGCCCACCCAAAACAATAGCCTCCAGCTCGGCCCAACAATACAAAGTGGCCCAACTTCTCCAATTTCCACAGGGATTTTTTATTTTTTTGCCATCCATAGGGATGGCACTCCTCCGTTTGTGCGCGTCCCTACACATTTGTCATCGTAAACAGTAACTCTCCTATATTTTTGCTATTTTTGCTGAGGTGGCACGCCAGCGTGGCAGGGAGCCTGGGAAGGCCTACATAGCATGCGAAATAACCTATGTACCCATGCTGCTTCTCTCCCTCCAATCGTTGACGCGTGGGCCCCCACATGTCAGCTTCGTCTTCAACCTCCCTCCATCGCCACGCAGAGAGGGAAGGGGGAACTCGTGTAGTCCCGATCGTGCTTTTTTTATCCAAAAACAAGAGGCGCACCGTGCACCGGTGCAAGCGAGCAGCAGATAGATTCTTTTGCGCCTACTTGCAATTCCCATCATCCTCGGCTCCTTCGTCATGCCTACCAGTGCCGGACTGCTGCCGGGTGCCACCGAGCACCGCTCAATCAGCACTCACTCACAGTTGCTCGCTCGATCCATGCTGGCGCACCCGAACGGTGTGGTCCGGCCGTCGGCCAAGGAGCCGCTCTTCTCCTTCGGTGTCATCGCGGACGTGCAGTACGCCGACATCCTGGACAGGCGGTCTTTCCTCGACGTGCCGCGCTACTACTGCCACAGCATCGCCGTGCTCCGGCGCGCGGTCCAGAGGTGGAACGACGAGAAGAGCGTTAGGTTTTGCATCAACTTCGGCGACATAGTCGATGGCTTCTTCCCCAAGTGCAGGCGGTGATGCGCGAGTTCAACAACTTTCGCGAGAGGAGAAGCAAGGCGTGCCGGAGGTCGAGGAGGGGCAGCAGCGTGATCGGGATTGCACAAGTTCCCCCTTCCCTATCTGCGTGGTGATGGCAGGAGGTTGAAGACCAAGCTGACATGCGGGGCCCACGCGTCAGCGATTGGAGGGGGAGAAGCAGCGGGAGTATATAGGTCATTTTGCATGCCCAGGCTCCCTGCCACGCTGGCGTGCCCATCTGAGCCACCTCGAGATGTGCCACCTCAAGAAAAATGACAGAAACGTACTAGGATTACTGTTTACGATTACGTAGGAACGCGCGTAGAGATGACAAACGGAGCCATCGACGGGGAAAAGTTAAAAATCCCATTTCCACATCCGCCGCGGTCCGCTCGGCATACCCCTATGCACATGTTAGACTGCTGTTCGCCCGGCGTGAAGGCGCTTCTCCCCTCCGACTCCCGTTCCTGCGTTCCAAACCCTAGGTCCGTTCGCGGCGGCGGCGGACTGTCAGTGGCAGCTCTCCGCTCGACTTGGCTTGGGCGGCCCGCGCCCGGGTCAGCACCGCAGCATCCAGGGGCATCGTCGCGCTCGCACCCACTGAGGCCGGCGGCGGCGGCGGCTCCTGGGTTGGAAGCCGGCGCGGCCAAGCGGTAGTGCGGCACCGAGTCACCGTCCCACCGAGGAGGCCGGAGCGCCGAGCAGCGAACAGCGGAACAGTAGCATCCGAGCAGGTTTGAATACTCTGAGTCTCTGATCGATTGCAGCACCAACTATGGATCAATATTCAATTGGCTTCCCATTAGATCAATAATCGATTTTTTAAACCCTTTAATATTGCTACTACGGTGATGAAAATACGGGCAAAGGAAGAGATAGACTAGGCTCAGTAGTATACGGGTAGACACAGACAGAACTTCCTGGAACTTTCCATTTTGTTGTGACCAGTACCAAGATATTTTCACTGAAAACTGAACCTCGATCACCAAGATGGCGATGGCAATTATTGCTGTTATCGTCAGACAGTGGAGACCCTGATCGAGTGGTCTGAACAGTTCAGAGAGGAAGTGGAGGCGCACGTCTCCACGCTTACTGCAAATGGTTTGAAGTGAGAGACATGATGACACAATGGCCAGTCATTTACATCCAATGGTGAAAATGATCGGGAAGGCCAAGCTTTGATTCGTCGAACGATGGCATAGGGCCATCAGTAGCGACTAACAATTATTAATTCATGTAATCTGCTACGTGCTTAATAAATCTCAGAATAATACACACTCGGTCCTGCTGATTAAATTAGACACCAACATTGCATCAACAACATTGATTAGAATTGCTACTTGTATTGTTAGTGAATATATGCTATTCATACAAGTTGCTTGCCCCCTCCCCAACTTCACTTTTGGATTTTATATCTTATATATGTATCTTATGTTACACTTTATTCTGATATTAAGTCTGCATATTAGTTGACTAGCTATAGGAGCCAGCAGATGTCTATGGTTTGTTTTTGTTGTAGTTCCATTGTAAGCATGTTTATTTCTACCTATTAAATCTAAATGTGCAGCAAATTTAGATTTCTGTCGTCCTTTCAGTTGACTTTGTTTGCAGTTCCATTATGACAAGTTCGCCTATTGTATACTGATTTCCTTTTGCTTTTGTCTACCCTTGGTAAGTCGGTATTGATATTGTTTATCATTATTTTGTGTATAGGAATCTCAACTTTCTTGCCAAGGTTTATCAGCTGAGTTGTATTATTGGGAAAAGTAGCAGTTTGACTCTACACATTAGAGAGTGCTATGGACGGGCCTGAGTCTAGTAGAGGTCGCAGCAAGCCGGAGGTTGAGGATAATATTAATGCAAGGAACACTTGGAAGGAGGAGCATGAAAATCAGGAGAATGCGGATAGCAGAAATTATTCTGATATATCCAGAAAACATGGATATGAATATGAAGTTGGGCATCAGGACGATAATAGAATGATTACACCTTCAAATGATAGGAATGAATCAAGGGGGAATGCAGATAGAAGCTCAGGCCTGGCCCGCAGTGCTGACGATGACGTCTATAATCTGAGAAGGGATTCGCGATCGCCTAAAGTTCCAAGGAGAAGCCCGGATGATTCTAAGGATCGAGACTATGATAGGAGGAGGGGAAGAGAGGACAAGAATGATTGGGAACCTTCAAGAAGATTTAGCCCTGATGCTTCTGCTAGGAGTTCAGAGAGGAGAGAGGGTAGTAGGGAGAAGCAAGGGCAACGGGACCAAGAGGAAAGGGCATCAGTCAGGAGGTCAGATGAAGTTTATGTTGATGAAAATGGTGGTTCTCTTAGAGTTGACACAAGAGAAGCTTATAGAGATGATAAATCAGACAGAGGGAGGGACAGAAATTGGAATGAGAAACCCCGAGACATTGAGGGGTCTAAGGACTATGGGAGGAACACTCAATTGCGAGATACTAAGGAGCCAAATGATTCTGAATGGAGGAATGCACAGGAAAGGCTAGATGGTGGGAATTTCCATGGCCGAGGTGGATACCGTAGAGATTCTAGGGGTAGATCTGAAAGTGTTAGAGGTCCCTCAACCTATGGGAACCGATATGACAATTCTGACTCAATAGAGATTCGACCTAATAGTAATCTTAATTTTGGAAGAGAGGGCTCTGTTCCTGGTAGAAGATTTGAAGTGGGAGCACATCGAGATTCAGTACCTGGAGGAACTGATGATAAATCCTCTGATCATCCTGAATCAGATCCAAGTGGTAGCACAAGCATGATTCCTTCGTTTCCTCAACAAGGTCCAAAAGGCGATAGGTCATCTAGAGGAGGAAGGGGTAGACCAAATGGAAGGGATTCTCAAAGAATCGGAGTTCCAATGCTAATCATGCCTCCACCATTTGGTCCTCTTGGACTGCCACCAGGACCAATGCAGCATATGGGACCAAATATTCCCCATTCTCCTGGTCCTCCTCTCCTACCTGGCGTTTTCATGCCACCATTTCCAGGACCTCTTGTGTGGCCTGGAGCACGAGGTGTTGATGTGAATATGCTTTCTGTTCCTCCCAACCTTCCCATTCCTCCTGTTGCTCCGGAACATAGGTTCGCACCAAATGTGGGAGCTGGGTCTGGTCATGATATCCACTTAAATCAAATAGACACCGGGTTAGGTGCACCAACAGATGTATCAGGTTTGGGTTACAATAATATGGGCCCTCAAAGCCGTGACATGCTCCACGATAAACCTGGTTGGACGCCACATAGGAACAGCGGACCAAACAGAAAAGCTCCTTCAAGGGGCGAACAAAATGATTATTCACAGAACTTTGTGGACACTGGCATGAGGCCCCAAAATTTCATTAGAGAACTGGATCTTACAAGCGTAGCGGAGGACTATCCAAAGTTGAGAGAACTCATACAGAGGAAAGATGAAATTGTTGCAAAGTCAGCTTCACCGCCAATGTATTACAAGTGTGACCTGCGGGAACATGTTCTTTCTCCAGAGTTTTTTGGTACCAAGTTTGATGTTATTCTTGTGGATCCTCCATGGGAGGAGTATACTCACCGTGCGCCAGGAATCACAGATCACATAGAATATTGGACTGCCGAGGAGATTATGAATTTAAAGATTGAGGTTTTTCCCTTTTCTTTCTTTCATCCTTTCTCTTTTGCGAGTTCATTTATGCTGCAGAATTAATATTTAGAAGTGTATTTTTGAATCAACAGGCTATTGCAGATACACCCTCCTTTGTGTTCCTTTGGGTTGGTGATGCTGTAGGCCTTGAACAGGGTCGTCAGTGTTTAAAGAAGGTAACATAGCCTGCTATTTTCGTTCTTTAACAGTTGCACTATATATTATTAGTGTAATGCCATTCATTTTGGGGGACTGGGCGGGAGCTTGAAATCAGTTTTTTCCCTCTGATGGAATGCATAGCAACATATACAATGTTTCATACTTTCATAGTTTCATTTCATCTATATGTGTGTTTTAATTTGCAGCTGTTGATGAAATGCTGCAATAACTAATAAGATGAGACTGACTGAAATTTTTCCGTGTTCAGTGGGGATTCCGTAGGTGTGAGGATGTTTGCTGGGTGAAAACCAACAAGAAAAATGCAGCTCCAAGTCTGCGGCATGACTCCCATACATTGTTGCAGCACTCAAAGGTAGTGTTGTGGTTGAGTAGTATGTGATGTATCATTTTTCTGGCATGCCTATATGTCTTTTTTCTGTATTTCTCTGGTTCTCTTGTGAAGTATCTACCCTTTCCATGTGCAGGAGCATTGCTTGATGGGCATAAAAGGAACTGTGCGACGAAGCACGGATGGACATGTCATCCATGCGAATATTGACACAGATATAATAATAGCTGATGAACCAACTGATGGTATTTTTCCTTTGGTTTTATTAGTTTTATTCCTATTCTTTATATATGCTTCATGCATTTATACTACTGTCTTATGACCAGCGACTACCATTTTCTATGATGAGGTGCATACACTCAATAAACTTATTTTCTCCAAATTTTCTTTTCTGATTTCTTTCTGTTGAAAATGGAGTTCTTTGTTCTGTTTTTATTGCTGCCATGGTATGAATATTGCAATTTTGTGAATTTGGCATGGTTGGCAAAAACATATTTGTCTTGGATTTATATGAATTTGGGATTGCAAATTA